TTAGTAAGTTAATTCTATGTGACAGTCACTGTGCTAAGCTCTTTACCTGGATTTACATCGATTATTTGACTGTGACCCTGGAAGCAGGTACTGTTATTATCCCATTCTACAGGTGAGGAAGCTGAGCTTTTGGTAGGTGAAATAATATCTCCGCGGTCAAGCAGTTAGCAAGTGGGGAACCGGACTTAGACCCAGATCTGACTGACTCCAGAAATCACAGTCTCAAGCATTTGTAAAGGCTCGGCATGAGCGTCCCTCTGTTCAGCTGAGTTCTCTGTTACCCGCCATCCCTGTCCGTGATAAGATGACGTGAGAGAAGGAGTATTTCCTGGGCCATAAGCACCTTGGCCAGAGCAGTGTGAGTCCACATGGACTTCCCTGGGGGCCTGGCAAAATTAATCGCAATTATCACCCAGTCCCATTTGTAGGGTTTATAAAGCATCTCCATAACCGTTACCTTGCGTGATCCTTACCCCCACTCCTGTCTCCTGGACAGCAGCTCTCAGCTGGGACTCACCACTTGGAACTTCCCACCCCGGCCTCTCTGTTGCATTTGCCCCATGCGCAGACATGGAGCACATTTCCAGTGAGGATGGTAACGTAGGAGCACACAGTGGGGGAAGAACAAAATGAGGGGGGTCTATGCCTGGGAATCTGAGTGCTTCTAGAAAGTCAAGATGGAGAGCAAAAGGGAGGAGACGCTGCTCGCTACCCCACAGTGGTGTTCCACTCACCACCCTTTTCAGTGGTTCCCATGGCTTGCCTGTCTTACTGAGAAATGGTAAGAATGTCAGTGATTTGTGGTTCCCAGATTTCACTGTAATTATTATGTGTTCTAATCGACATTGGCTGGATTGAGGGACCCAGTAACCATTTCCCTCCTCAGTTAACAGGAGTCTCCCTGTGTCCACTCTCAGTCCACCAGGTCCAGGGTGTCCCCACTCCCCCCGCACCCCCAGCAAGGCAGTGATCCAGGCACAGCCGATCAGCATATTTCATCTGTGCTTGGTCCACGAATGGACACGTGACCCTAGCTAGGGTGATCAGAATGAATCCCAAGGCCTTTAATGGATCTTCTGGAAAAGAGAAATTTTCTTTACACCGGGCTGATGAGAGGAAGGCCTGTAACTGAGGGGGTGTTAGCGGTCACCTGTCACTGTGTGTGTAGGAGGAGAATAAAGTCTACACAGAGAAGAACAAACTGAGAGATGGAGGGAGACTGAGTCCTGATGATAACACTTAATAGCTGGATCCAGCCGTGCCTGAAGCTAGAGGCATACATATATTAATATTTCTCTTTCCTTTTTGTTTTAAAACTTATATCCAGTTTGGATTGGACTTTAGTCATTTGCACATGAAAGAGACTTGACTGATACCTCAGTTAAAGTTGAGAGAACACTTAGAAATCACTTAGTCTAATCCCATTGCTTGATAGCTAGGGAAACTGGGGTATAGAGAGGAGAAACAGCTTGTCCAGAGCACAGGAGGACTAGTGGCCGTGGTGGACAAGAATCCAGGTCTCTTCATTTACCTAGCCCACCTCTTTCCCCAGTGCAGTTTCCTGGCTGGCCTCTCTTCTCCATGCTCAAGGCTTGATCCTCACGCACGGCCTTGCTCCTCTCCTCTGATCAGGGAAGCTAAGCCAGCCCTGCCCTGCACGTCATCCTAGAGCCCAGTGTCCATAAGAACTTTGGGCTCCAGGGCCTGCACTCACTCACCAGCAGTTGGGGAGGTTGAGGGTAACGCTCGCCTGGGTGGTGGCCCCAAACTTGAGGTAGCCCAAGGCCCCAAGGCTTATGTACAGGATGATGATCATGAACATCCCCCCGTAGAGGACAAGTGGGAACTGGGCACGGTGCTGCATCTTGTTTTCCAGAGGCAAAACCTGCAAACGGAGCAGGCACGAACAATTACACAGTGCTTCCTACTTATGGAAAGACCCCATTTGCCCACTGTTTTTTATTCTAAATTCATATATCTCAGTCATCAGAAAGCTCAAGAGAAAAAAAAAACAAAACCAAAAAACTCCAAGACATGGTGCTGGCTTTGGATATAATTGACATAAGGAACTACTGAATTACAACATCAGTCATTAAAAAGACCTTAAAAGTCTTCTAGCCCAAACATTCATGCTTGAGTATCCTCTTTCATGTTCAAGAAAGGCTCTGCCTCTGAGTAGCTTTGTGCCCTATGGATGTTGATGATCATCTAAAATCATTATCGTTACAGAAAATCACAACTAGAATGTGTCTTTGCAGGAGTTGTGCTTCCACGCTCTTCCCACCAGGGGGAGCTCCGTCTCAATTTCAGGTGGAAGGTGACCTTCCAGCAAGTAACACAGGTGTGTGGGCTGCAATATGATTTTGGATTCCTTTTGCTTGGGGGGTGGAAAGGAGAGTATCTTATATATCAGAATATATGACACCTCCTGAACAAAGGATGGAAAATAAGTAGAGACTGTACTGGCACCAGGAACGAAGAAACCTCAGTTTCCTTATTTGCGACGTGAATTAGTTTAGAAAAATCTCTGCTTGCTTATGCTTTAATCCAGCCCTAACTGTCTGTGATCTGTGGTTCTGTGTTCCTAGTGGTAACGCTGGAGCATGAGCTCCGAATAACACAATCCTGTCGAAGGAGAACTAAAAGGGGAAGACCAGAGAAGAATCTGAGAGGGCAAACGCGTTGGTCTAGGGGCTAGCAGGTGAGGCTTTCAGCCCTGGCTTTGGAATTTAACAGCCATATGCTCTCGGACAGCACTTCCAGTCCTCAGTTTCATTATCTGTGCATGGATGTGAGTACCACTTCAGCTGGGGACAAATTTCTGATCTATCTCTGTATTTAGCTTTTTATTTTGAAATATTTTAGACTTATAGAAAAGTTGCAAGAATAGTACAGAGAATCCCCGTATACTTTTCACCAGTTCCTCAAATATTAGCATGTTTGCTTGATCATATTCTTGTCCTCTCTGTGTGTGCATATATTTATATCCCCACACATATAGGTGGGGAGATGTATTTTTTCTGAGCTATGTAAGAATAATAGATACGTTTTAAAGATGGTATTCTTTTGTGATTTCATTCAAAGGGTTCAGAGGATAAGAAATATTTGAAAAGCATTGCTAAACTCCCTTTTAGCGTTGACTTTTTAAAGTAATTTTTCTCATGCTGGATTATAATAGTTCTAGCACTGAAAGGTACTGATTAAGGGCATACCAAATTAAATAGTAATTTTTAATATGAAGACCATAAGTGCTTAAGTAGTTTGACTTGTTATCAGGGATTTGTCACCCAGAGGTTTTCAGTGTTCCCATTTTACAGATGGATAAAATGAGGAACACTTAAAAGAGATTTGCCCAACATCCCACAGCTTTCTATCAGATATTTTTCCTAGCACATTAGCATTCTTTTACATGCACTTGGTAAGGAATGGTGAAGCAAGATCATCATCATCATGATTTACTTTGTGCCTGGCAATGTGCCAATCGTTTGGCCTACCTTATCATATCGAGTCCTTACAACAGCCTTGCTTTGTAGTATTCTAATCTCCATTTTACAGATGAGAAAACTGAGCCTCAGAGATTTTTTTTTTTCAGAATAGCTTGTCCCAGATCACACAGCTTGAAAGGATAAAAGCAACAGTATTCAAACTCATGTGTGTTGGGCTCCAAAGCCAGTGCTCTTCATCTAGCCCGTACAGCTTCCTCCCTCCACGTTGGGGTGGGGGGCACGCTCCCATCTCAAGCCTTACCACGCCAATACCTTCGAAGGCAAAGATTGCTGTCCCGAAGAAAAGTGGGTAGGTCTTCCAGTTTGCAACCAGAGGCAGGCTGCCGGGGTCTGGGATTTCCTGATAGACAAACCCGGGACAAATGTTCATGGTTACCATAGAACTGGACTTGAGAAAATACAACAGAAATACAGCAAATAGAGAAACAGCCAGCCAGCAGCCAGCAGTGCTCAACTTTCTGCCGCCCTTCACCATTTGGTGGACAGACTTTCTTTAAGAGGACGGAGGCAGCAGGAAACTTCCAGACTCAGGGAGGAACTGAGAGTGAGGGGGGCTGGTTCTAGGGCTGAGATGACCAAGCATACTTTGGGACCTCAGTTTCTCCATGTGTAAAGTACGGTGGGGAATTGGGGCTGAGGTAGAAGTTGGCCTTCTTCCCTCTGCCCCGCTCTGGAGCTGGCTCCCGGGGAAAGTAAGAGATGAGGCTGCTGGATGGCCGGGGGTGCTTAGGAGAGGAGAGGGAAGGTCCTTAGAAATCCTCTGCTCTGATGTCTTGTACACACGGGAGCCTGAAGCCCAGAAAGATCTTCATAACAAGGCTCCTCATCTGATAAGATAGTATAAGCAGAAATATTTCTTAGGACCTCCTGATGGGCCACACACTACGCTAAGTGCTTTCAACACACTGTTTAGTTTTCACCACAGCCCCACAAACTAGGGATTATTGTCTTCATTTTAAGGGTAAGGAAATTGTGGTGCTGAGTCACTCTAGCTTTATTTAGTTTCTCCTTCCGTAAAGTGGGGAAGTTGAACTATTAATAAAACAGCACGTCTGAAACTTTTCTGTGCCTCTTACATTATTTTTCTCATGAAGTTAGTATTTGAAAATTAAATTGAGTTTTAAAAAGAAGCATTCTAATACAATTCTTCGTTGCCATGAATAGAAGAGAATGTAATAATTTAAGTACATAATTAAGAAAATAAACAAGCGTTATCCATCTCCTCCCTAAACTCATCACACGTAGCGCCAGAGGGATGGAAACACACCTCGACAAACCACTGAATTAATTAAACGACTTCTAAGTCCCGTCCGATCTCTGATTCTGTAAGAATGCAGAATCCTGGAATCCGATGAGGCCTGACAGCTCGAGAATAATGCTCTCGAAGAGACACCAGCCGTGAAAAGGAACCCCACTAAAAATCCACTAGCCAACAAGATGACCTCCGGGACATTTACAGCAACTGGTCTGCAGGAGTCTCTGAAGGTTGTTTTTCCTGTCTGGGAAGAGGGAGAAGAAACCTTCCCAGCCAGGGGGGTGGTGAGTGAATGACCCTTTCCCGGGGGGTGAAAGGCAGGAAGGCGTATTTTCGTTGTTGCCCAGGCAGGAGGGTCCTCAGGAGGTGGAGACTATCCAAGGAGTTTGCATCTAGCCTCTGTGTCCTTACCTTGCTTTTGGCTATTAAAAAGAAGAAACAGTGACAACCAAAAATGTCTCCAAAAATCCCCAAATGTCCACTGGGGGGGCAAAATCACTCCCAGTTGGGAGCCCTGGTCCAGGGTCTGTACTTGTACCCACCAAACTGACTCTGCCGCCTCCCTAAGCACTACTGGGTTCTCGCCAGGAGTTTTACACCAAAACAGCCTTACAAGGCAGCGATTACTAGACTGTTTTAAAAGCATGGCTTACTGAGGCTCACAGGGCTTGTGTGTTGCAAAGCCAGGACTCATTCTCACATCTCGGGCCTCTCCTTTATGGATTCCCACCCATGACGAGTGTCAGGGGGAAGTTTTTGTGCCTCATAAAAGAGCAAAGCTGAAGGCTAGGGATGGACTCTGCACACTCTTTACTCCTGATTTCTTTTAATTTCTCCAAGGCTTTGCCATGGGTGCCTGCAGGATTATCTGCTCAGCAAGCCTCCCCCACATTCCTGTAGCGACCTGGCCCCCCTCTGTGTCAGGTCTGGTTTTCACCGGCGTTCCCCTGACGTTAGTGCATTAGTTTACGGGTAGCACCTGATCCAATTTTCCTGGATTTTGGGACCTGAGAGAACACCAGATTACCCTCCTCCTGGTGGCCGAAATGGAAAAATGCAAGACCCAGAAGCTGTGGACAGAGCTGGTGCACATCAAGAGAGGAACAAAGCCAATACACACAGAGCTGAACTGAGCAGAAGTGTCAGAGGCGTCTGTCTGCCCCCTGGCTTGAGGTCGCTTCCAAAGCCTGAATGCAACACCATCCTTGCAGCTTGGCTGTTCCATGACACTTCCCAGAATCTTCTAATACAGTCTCCTTTCTCCCTCCAGTTACTTTGAGTTGAACAAAACTCCTTGTTACAGTTTTTCCCCTGAAAACAAAATATCTCCTTATCGGAATAAAACAAACCAGAACAAAACCTTCTTAACATCATTAATCTACTCCTAAAAATCTGATGATCTGTGCAAAAGAGCTGATAATCAAGTTCCTATTATTTTAAATGGGAAAAGTTATGTCACATGACACATCAAGCCCCAATACTCAAACAATTCTTAAAATGTAACTAAAACGCGGTAAAATGGCTATATGTAAGTAATAAACTACGATATTAGTCTATAAATACTTAAATTTTGATACTGAACACAAATGAATGCAGTTGTTACAAGAAATTGTTTGGTCTCCAGTTCACATCCTCTTTGTGGACATTTGTTCACTTTCTAAATGGTCTGTGTGAGTTCTAAACATTTGACTGTATCTGGAATGTAAGACCATGTCAGAAACGTCTCAAGACATTTCCCAGAGGTTGTTTTGTTAAACAGGTTGTATTGCATTATAAATGCACGTGGAAAAGCAGGGAGAGAGAGAGAGGGAGACTCATTTTGTGAAGTTGGGGCATTAAAAAAATTAAAGAGGCATTCTTTTAGGAAAACAGGGGAAGACATTTTCTGTGTGCCAAACCTGTATGTATGTCAAACAATGCAGACATATATAAGAAAACACATCTCAACCTGAAACCTGAGATTTCGCTTTCTGCAGGAAGTCGTTGTTGACAGTCTGGAGGGTCCGTTTCCAGGCTTTTGCGCTACGTGCACACGCAAACCACACCGACCCCGGCGATGGCACGGGCGGGGAACCTGCCTGGAGGAGGTGCTGGAAGATGAGGACGAGGCTTCCCAGCATGAGGACGTTGGCCAGCGCCGAGAAGGTGGACAGGGCGCGGAGGTTCCGGACGCACACCAGCGGCACCAGGAAGGGCAGTGCCGACACCGCGTAGACGCGGGCGTCCACGGTGGGTGTGGGGGTCACGACCCCTCTACCCCGGCAGTCGGCTGTGGTCCCGTTGGCTGTTTCGATCACCTAAGGATAAGAAAGGCTGATGTGAACCTCAGCTGTGACCTGCCGGTCCCCACCTTCATGCCCTCCAGCTATTCCTGCCAACCTTCCACCCTTGAAAGGTTTCCTCTCTGCAGGACACTTTCCTTCTCGCCCGACCTTCCCTTATTAGTGACTGCTCAGACTTCAGAGAAAACATCCCCTCCAAACTCCATCAGGCCCCGCCCTCAGAGCACCCAGCCCATTTCTTCAACAGGGTTTATCAGTGTGCAACTTTGTGGAATGATTATTGCTAAATGTTCGTCTTCCCCACTAGAATGTAAGTGTCGCGAGGGCAGGAACCTTATCCAGTTTGTTCACTGCTGTACTGCCAGCACTGTGACCCGCTCATGGTGGATATTCGGTATGTGTCCCTTGAATGAATGATGAAGGACAGCGTGAGTGAAATTCTCAACAGAGACAGAGAGATGACTTAGACACCTCCTTTTTTTTTTTTTCCAAATAAGGATTTTGTTTTATGATGACAGAAAATATTTATGGTCAAAAATATAAAGAAGCAAAGAGAAAATATAAAAAGGACAAAATTATCTTTGGAGACTCTCTTCGCAGTATTGTTTATAATAGGAATAACATAAAATAAAATAGAAACAACCCAAATGTCTGGCACAAGGACGTGGCAAATCAATTATGTGTCCTGGGTCCATGACATAGCATTAAGCATGAAAAAAAGCAAAGAGCACATCAATATCATAGTTTGAAGAAACGATTATTACAAATGCGTGTTTGAATATGTAATGAAAAAACCCTGAAACACTATTCACATGCTTTTAATGTGTGCTTTTGCAAGAGGAAAGATTTATTGGGAGCTTTTATATTTTATAATCTCTGTACTATTGTTTGGTTTTGTTTAAGAAAGAGCTGTGTTGCTCTTGTGTTCGGAGGGGGAAAAATCAACCATAAAGATTTAAAAACAAAGATAAAAGATGCACCGGTAGATTCCTTTCAGAGAGGTAACGACTGCTAACATTTTAGAGTAGATGTTATATATTTATACATATGTCTATATACATATGCAAACATAATATATTTACAAAAATGAGACCCAGGTGAACACAGTGCTTTGTAGCCTGCGTTCTTTTGTGCTATATTGCTTGAATTTCTTCCAGCACTAGAGTTTGCAGAGCTATTTGCTGAAAATACACACCTAACAAACACTTATCAAGCAGTTACTTTGATTTAAGAGATCTGGAGGAACTCGTCTAGCCTCTATGAGCTCACAGGCTAGTTATAAAGGAGGAGATGTGGGCACATAACTATTCAAGGGAAACTATGCATGTAGTAAAACAGTAGATTTGAACCGAGAAGGGAAAATACGGTGGTAATCCTGCTGTGTGGATCAGGGAGCGACACCCGAAGGAGGAGGGCATTTAGGATGGGTGTGATTGGGATGTGCGGAGATGAGAGAGTGGAGGAGGGAGGGCGTCATACATAGGAAGAAGAGCGTGAGTAAACGTTCAGTGTTGGGTAAGGTGGAATTTATTTGGGAATGGTAGATAGCTCAGACATGTTGGAGCACAGGACACACAGAGAGAGAAGTGGCAGATCACATCACCCAGGGTCTTATGAGGCAGATTAAGGGGTTTGGAATATATCCTGTCCAACAGGTTGATAGTGAAGATTTTCAAGTTCAAAAAGTGTGTTCGGTTTTCTCTGTTGATGCTTAGAGATAAGGAACTAGAGGGCCCAAAGCAAAAGCTGAATTGTTCGGGCTTTCACAATCTTGGTTGATTTGGATGGAGCTGCTCAAAGTTCAAGCTGGGCTATCTCTTACCATCTTGTATTTCTGCTTGGGTGCTCTGACCTACCTGTTTCAAGTTATCTGCCAGAAACATAAGGAACACACAGCAGAAGCCCAGCTGGTCCACAATCAGGAAGAAGAACACAATGTACCTGGGCATTGGGAGGAGAAGATTATTTCTCATAAAAGTAAGGAAGGCAAAGAGAATATGGGGCCACCCAACTTGTTGGTGCTATCAGCCTCTATCCTAACTCTCCTGCCTGGAGCCCTTGCTTCCTACAGCCGCAGGTAGGAAGAACTGCTGCAGCCTCAGACCTTCTCCAGCTCTAGAAGGGACAGGGACATCCTGGCAGGCTCGTTACACTTACGTTCAGGTATGTTTCCAGCAGAGCCTTCTTGCCCAGTATGGAGTCACGAGGGCCTGCCCTGACCTCCCTACCCCATCATCTGCTGCCCAGCCTCGTCTGCTTGGAGAAGGAGAGCTCTGTCCTAAACTCCAGCTGACTTGGCTTGGACACCCAACACTCTGCCTGGTCTTGGGCCATCCCTTCTCCCACACTGAAGCTGCTTCCACTCTGCCCCTGTAGCCTACACTCTGCACAGCAGCTAGACTCATTTTTTAGAGACTATTCATTATATCTCATACCATGTCCTTCCTTTGTTTGCAACCCTTCTGGGGCTTCCCTCTGCTCTTGGGATAGCATTGTGATGTGTTAACTTGCCTGCCAGTTGCTGCCTGATTTGGCTCCTGCCTCCCTTTCCATTCTTCCCTTCCACCTCTCCTCCTCCCTACTTTGCACACCTTGCCAGTTTCCTGGAGTCCTCTGAGCTCTTCCCAACCCCCAGTCATTTGCACACACCTTTCCCTGGGATGTTCTTCCCAACCCTCTTCAAATGGCTGGCTCTCACTTAGCCTTCAAACCCTCAGCTTAAACCTCACCTCCTCAGAGAGGGTTTCTCCAACCTTTCATAGCTCTTATCCTAATTTATAATTATACATTAGCTTCTTTTCTTATTTCCTGTCTCTACCATGAGGTTTTAAAAACTCTATTGAGGTAGGGACCATGTCTATTCCCTTCAGCTCTGTCTCCCTGGCACCTAGCATGATGTCTGGTCCATAGTGGGTACTCAATGAATATTGTTTAATGAGGAGATTAATGAATTAATGAGTGAGTGGGACCCTGGTTCTCTGTGAATGGAATGATCTTCTAGAAAGTACACACAGTCTATCTGACTTGAGTCACCACGTGCTGCCTGGTATCCCCTGATGTCCAGGTTCAAGAGCCATCCCAGACTGCCCAGGAGCCCCCTTATCCCGACCCCCTTTTGGTTTGTGGCACCTTCTAGCTTCTGTGCCTTGGCTGCTGCAGCCTCTAGAGCTGGATGGTCTCCAACCTTGCCTTGGATCCAGGCTCTTTCTGTTTTGACAGATCACAAGTTAACAGAGCCAACCCAAGTGAAGAATCATGTTCACTGAACACCCCAAATCACTCTTAGAATGAAAGGTGGTGTCAAAATGCATTTCTCATAAATGATTGCTGGTAACTATGTTACCAAAGCTGGACCTTTGCTGAATTGAGGATGATTTAGTATTCACGGTGACAGCAGTATCGAATAAAGTCTTATCATTCAATCTGTGGCCGCCCAGTGACTAAAGACAGTGGCAGTGAGGTGAGGGGGAGAAAGGAGAGCTGGTGAAGAAAACGAAACAGCTCCGCTGTCAAAATGTCCCCTGACTGCTGAGAAAGGGGACTAGAAACTTTAGCTACTGGGATCGGTTCATCCACACTCAGCGCAGTCCAGCCCTAGAGGACCAGGAGTTGACCACAGTCATACAACACCCTTGCTCAGAGTTGTGACTTTCAGCCCTGTCATGATTCACTCGGTACCTTTGGGTAAGTTGCTTCCTGTCCCTCAATTTTCCCATCTGCACTTATGGATTCCAGAAGCAGCTGGCTCTGTCCCTAGAGGAATCCATCTAGACCCATGTGCAAGTCTTCTACCCCACTGCAGGCCAGGAGAGGGCAAGGTACCTCCCCCAGCGGGCGTGGTCATGGAGCCAGGTGCAGGGGCTGGCCTCCAGGGCATGCATCATGGTGTCCCCATAGTCCATGAAGGGCTTGCTGAGCCTGCAGGAGAGAGCACAGGAGACTGGACATTCTCGGGTTCAGAAGTATGTTCTGGTGAGAGAGCAAGACAGGACTTTCCCCAGCACAAGGCTGAATGGAAGGATGGGTGGTAGGAACCATGGTAGGAACCCTGGCAGAAGGGATAGATGGCTGCTGGTGCTTGCCCACTATGCTTCTTTCGTTTCCCTGAAAGTCTCCAAAAATCATTTACTAACTGTAAACAAATATTTAGTGAGTGGCTACTGAGTGTTGGAGCTGTACAAGGCACAAGGGTTCATATCAGTGAATGAGATAGGCCAGGCCCTGTCTTCCTGGTGCCATAGGTCAAGTGGATTAACGAGCCCCATGTACTCACCGAACGCATGAGGACACTTAGGCCCAGAGGGGGCAGAATACCTGTCCAAAGTCACACAGTGAGCTGGGGGGCAGAGTCAAGACCTGACCCTGGGTCTTTTGACTCCTACAACAGTGATTTTCCTATGACACCTGCTGCTTCCCTGAGATCACACAGATTGCTGGTCTTCATGCTAGCAATGAGGATTATCACGCACGCTACCCCTCGGTGCAATGCTTTTCACCAGGAGTGCAGGGGCTCATCCTCTTACCGGTACATCAGAATTTCAAGGAAATGAGAAGGAAAGTGAATTTTTCTCCTCCATTTAGTTAAAAAATATAGCAGCAGTAATGCCTATTATAAAAAGGTCAAATGTGCAGAAGTATAAAAAATGAAATGTCTCTATGCATATCCTCCCCTGCCTCATCCCAGGCTAATTCTCCTCCCCACTTCTTTTCCCAGAAGTAACTACTTTTAACAGTGTGGAGTGGTTAGGTCTAGACCTTTTAAAAATATATTTATTATAAACAATAAATACATACAGCTTAGTTTTTAAAATCCTATAGAGGTGTAAAAAGCGTATCCAATATTATTTTTAAAATGGTGTGGAAAGTGAAAGGACACTGCTTTTGTGATGGAAAAACTGAGAAACTCTTGGCTGGTGGGGTGTGCTCAAGGGGCTTGCTCTGGTAGATATACCAAGACAGACGGTATCATAGGAGACTGGGCAAAGCACACTGGTGAGAGTAAAGCAAAGGAAAGTCCTGTTTGCAAGGGACTTGGAGGCTCTCACCTGCAGCAGAAATGGCGGGCACACTTCACCAGGACCCCCATGCAGTGCACGGCCAGGAGGCCTATCGCCAACAGGCTGACGGGACCCAGCTGCAGGGCGGGGGGTGTGAACAGAAGGAAGAGAGCTGAGTAGCTATGTTAGCGTGAAAATCTTGGGACAAAAATGGATTTGTTAAGAGAAAGAGAGGACAAGCCATAGGCTGGAAGAAAATATTTGCAAAAGATATATCTAATAAAGGACTGTTACCCTCTTAAAAGTCAACAATAAGAAAACAATCTGATTTTTTTTTTTTTTTTT